GAGGCTTCCTGGCGTTTGCCGGTAATGGGCTGTCGCGGTGATACCTCGGGGTGACAGATAATAAGAGGTCCCTGTAGGAAAAAGACAGTAAAAGGCGGCATCCCTGGGTCCTCACAAAAATCTGTGAATTTAGCAGTGTTGAAGTGATATGGCTGTGTCCAGAGAAATGAATGTCTTCACGTTCCAGTGAATGCCATCTGCTCCATTCATTGTGAGTGCAAACACATATGGAGATGCAATTATGTGGCTTATAACTGCATCGGGCTTCAGGGCAAAAATGGCATCACGTTAAAAGTCACTTTATCCAGCTACGGCTGGGTACAGAGGATTGTAAGAATGGGTAAATGTGTGTGTTTATATATATGTGTGTGTATATATATATATATACAGGAAAGAGAGATGAGTTTGTGTGATGGCACTGGAAAAGGTACTGAAAAGTACCCCTAGTACTCAGAAGCAACATCTAGTGAGATCTCATTATCCTACAAGGAATTTCAGCTAAACATTTTCCTCCAAAGTAAAGATGCAGCTACTCATATGCTGTATCTCATGTAGTGTCATGTGGTCACTATGCCAGCTACTGAAATATTGTGGAGAAAACAATAGCGTATGTTTTCTGTATGTGTTTCCTTTTTTATTATTAAGGACATTTACATAAAAAGGAGCTTTCCATCTAGGATTCCTCTTCTCTTCACTTGGTATCATGCTTTACTTCTGGCATCAAGAATAACCCTAGAATAAGTATTACAAGTATCAGACAAGATAGAAATTTTGATTTTATATGTTTAGTTGCTTATAATGCAGGTTCTGTTTATGGCATTTCATAAGGTAAATTAAAATGTTTGTAGTTGATAAATATTATTTCCATGATACTTACTACTTTTTGGCTTATTCATAGGAGTTATGCTGCGCAGGAGTGGGTGGTTGTGGCTTGCTGTCTTCATAACCCTGTGGGTTTCCTCAAATGCTCAGGGTAAGTTCTGACACTTCTTAACTAGATGTAGACTAACTCCCAAAGCTAAAAGTTGGTGTAATACATTGGCTTACCTAAGCTACAGTGGGCAAAGTAATCATATATGATTTTTTTAGAAGTGCCTGGAATAGTCGTTGCTGGCAGTATTTTTGGTAGATACATCTTACTACAGCTAAATGAAGATTACCCAATAAATATAAAAAAATTGCTTTCTTTAGAAATTATTGATCAAGATGTATATAATCTCAGAAATGAATGCTGTTATACTTTTCTTTGCAGTGGAAATAGATGATGAGGGTAACATAAACAGAATCAGTGTGTGAGGTACCATTTTATAAAGATGGAGGTAGAGAAATAGACCTCTACAGACCAAATATAAGTAGAATGTAAATTGGCGTAGTGCCAGACCCTCATTTACATCTCACTCCTTGGCCTGAATCTTTAAAAAGCAAATCTCTTGCTTCCTGTTGTCATGTGGCCACATGGATTCTCATAATTTGATTTTTATTAGCTGATAGTCAAAATATAGAAATTGGCTCAATTTCCTTATCTGTTCATATATATTAAAATATTTAATGAGTACATTGTTACATGTATCCATGCTTAAGCATATACATGACATACAGCATGTGTGTGTGTATATATATATGCACACACAAGTGTGTATTATATAGTGCTGCAACATATGCAGCCATATGTTTTTATTATATAATTAAACATATTTATACCTACCCACGTAGGAAAGAGTTGTTATGTAAATAAAAATGCCAAGTGGAAAATATGATTCACTTGCATGCTAGTAAGAACAGTTCTGTTTGTGGAAGTAGGAAAGTACTGGGTTTACTCTGCTGATCCTTAAATCTGTCATAATTGCAGTGACCAAGTGTAGTGTGCAGAGTTGTTTCTTGTAAAACTGTTTGTAGATACATTGTCACACACTGTTAACTTTTTCAGATGGTGACAAGGAAGAGGAGACTACCTTTGATTTACTTCAAATCAGTAACATAAACCGAAAGACAGTTGGAGCAAAATTGTTTCGTGGTCCAGACCCCACTATCCCAGCGTATCGTTTCATTCGGTTTGATCATATACCTCCATGTAAACCAGAGAAATTAAAAAAGATTGTCAAACTCATACGGCAGAATGAGGGCTTTATACTTTCAGCCACCCTGAGACAGGACAGGCAATCTAGAGGCACTATCCTTGCTTTAGAGGGTCCTGGCATCAGTGAGAGGCAGTTTGAGATCATTTCCAATGGCCGGGCCAACACCCTGGACCTTATTTATTGGGTGGATGGCTTCCAGAACGTGATTTCCCTGGAAGATGTGGACCTTGCCGACTCACAGTGGAAGAATCTCACCGTGCAAATAACAGGGGAGAACTACAACCTCTATGTTGGCTGTGACCTTATTGACAGCTTCATCCTGGAGGAGCCTTTCTATGAGCAGCTGAAAGCAGAGAACAGCAGAATGTATGTGGCGAAAGGGTCCATTCGGGAGAATCATTTCAGGGTAGGTAACCTGGAGAAGCTCACCTCTCTGGTGAGGTAAGAAAGTAACTGCAAGTAGTTTGAGAAGATGCAATAGGCACAGTTTTGTTCTCCCAGCGCCTCTTGATTTGATGGGGTCACAAGAGTTCTGAAGCAGAATTTCTCCAGAGCATGTTCTTGTTCATTGTTGGATCTGTGTTGTGTGACTTTGAGGTTCCTGAAAGCGAAGGACTGGTAAAGCAAAGTCTAGGTCCAGGAAAAGTCCACAAAAGCAGTTTATGGTCTTTCCTATGCAACCATCCACTTTCTTTTTGAGATGTAAGACTTCTAAACATGTTGCATTTTTGTGGTCATATGTAGAATTCTTTGGAAATTTCTTTAAGAACTATTTTTCCATTGAAATAATTGCAATATATCTGTTCAAGTTTTAAGACCCTGTCAATATCTTTAAATTTTATTTGAAAGAGGAAGGAAAAAAAATTTTTTTTAATGGAGCTGAAGCATGTGGTGTTGGTCCATCTCCTAACAGAATACCTCGAGGTGTTTAAGAGAAGCGTAGATGTTGTACTTAGGGATATGGTTTAGTGGTGTTGATAGAGCTAGGACAAAGGTTGGACTCAATGATTTTGTAGGTCTCTTCCAAACAAAAATGTTCTATGATTCTATGATCTTGGTTTGCCATTTTGAATAACCTTTCATTTCAATCTATACCCCAAAAAAAAAAAAAGTTTTCATCAGTCCTGTAAATGAGATCTTAATTTTTTCTTTTTGTGGAAAACTTTAGTGTCTTTTGTTTTAAAATGAAGCAATTAAAAACTTTCTGGTTTTCCTATAAAATGAAAATTACCTCCTGCCTCATGTAGTGATGCGATCTGGCCCAAGTGCTTTAAGGATGGCTTCTTTTCACACACAGCTGAGATCAAAATTGAACTCATGGCTTCAAAAATTCAAAAAAGCCTTCTTTCTCATCCTGTTTGTTGCGCCATCTAGTTGTCAGTCAGAGCGTGACATGCTGGAGTGTAGTTCCATGGGATGACCAGTTTTGGCAGGGAAACCAGAAGTTCTTGCCCACAGCCTCTCTGTTCCTGTCTCCATGATTAAATTTCTCCATCAGTTGTGCTCATAGAACTGGTTCTGGAGCTGTACAGTTAAGCGAGTCACTGAAATAATCTGTTTCTAAAGTAATTTTTTTTTCTTCTTTGAGATTTTTTTTTTTAAAGTGAAACAGGTACCAGTCTGGTTTTATAGTGTTGTCTCAGGGCAGCATCAGCACAGTTGAGGAGACAATGAAGTACGGTGCATGGGAATGACTGGCTAAGGATGGAAGTGTGATGGGGCAGGAACTTTGAAAGTTTGCTTTGATCTCATGGTGAATGTCTTGTAGAACTACAACCTAAAATGCACTCTATGAAAATGCAGATTCGAGCTCATAGCTGATTAGTAACTTTTGTTATGACTTATTTCAGAACATACCTAATTTTCTTGCTTATAGTATTGAAAATGTATATAACAAAACTGTGAACACTTTATTTTCAGTGTGTGTCACGTTTAATACCTTTTTAGATTGTTTTTTAGAAATGAATCCAGTCAGTAGGATGGGAGTGAGACAGATCAGTTATTTGTCCCTCCCAAATTAATCTGGGTTTTATTTTTTAATTATTATTACAGGGTCTTTTGCAAAATATTCAGTTAATCTTTGATACTTCGATAGAGGATGTTCTGCGCAAAAAAGGATGCCAGAGAAGCCAGTCAAGTAAGGCTTTTTTACCTCATTAATACTATTGAATTGACTCTGGAAATGAAATGTGAGTGCTGACATATTATCCTAAAACCATGCAACAGATTCCTTTGAAATGAAAAAGAAAATGTGTTGCTTTTTGGTGGTAATAGGAACATGGTTTTTTCGCTATCTTGAGATACCATTTCTACTCTCTAGCCTACTATTTTAGTTCTTGTTACTTAGGTTTATAACTCTGAGCCTTTGTTTTTAAGTTGGGAGAAAAGCTGTCAAGCAACAAATTAATAGAAATAGAAGTGAAAATGCAGTAGAAATAGAAGTGTGAAAATATCTACATTCTTCCATGAGATGTCTGTGATTCTTTAAGCACAAGAAACCTAAGGAAAAGAAGAAAAAAAAACCTGAAGAGGTATGGAAGGTGTGTATGTGAGAGACTGGTGTGTCTTCTAGTTAGTCCGGTTCATGCTGACCTCACCAGGAGGGAAGCCCTCTGTGTGTGGGTGTATATTTGATTCATCATGAAAGAGTTATGAAAATTTGTCAAGTGTGCACTAAGGTTTTGTACTTTTGCTCATGGGAGGTGCTGGCTGTTTTGCTTGCCAATATTTGTAACTGGCAAGAGCTCAATCAAGAATCAGAGACAACTTGAGTGTATTAGAGGAATGTGGTAGGTGCAGAAGGCAATCAGGACTTCAGGGTTTTATTTGAAGCTCCTGGTATCTGAAATGCCATTATTTCTGTCACTTTGCTAAAACATAGGACAGAGCAAATCAGTTAAGCAGACTACTCCAACTTTTTTCCTTGTTTATGCAAAACACAGGAATTCAGCCAGAAGGAGGGCTTGACTTCTTCAAAGGGGGTCAAAGTATTGAGATTTTGTAATGAAAAATCTCTTGAGGTACATTAATGTGTGTGTGTATATATATATATATATTTAGATATCTACATAGGGGTGTGTATATGTGTATATGCACAAAAAATTTAACTGAGCTTGCTAGTCTGTCTAAATCTTGATAAGGGGCATTGGTTATTTCATATGTTCCAGAGGCGTGCCCTGGTGCAGGACCTTGGACTCCAGTGTGACGATGTGTTAGAAATGAGTCATGTGGGCTAGAATGGAAGTAGCCTTCGATGGCACAGGCAAGAAGACATGCCCTCATTTGTTGGTTGGCGTCTCTTCCAGCCAAGCTGTTTTCTGTACTCAGAAACTCTCATTACTAGTTTTCAGCTTTGTTAGTGGAAGAAAATGCTTGAGGAGCAGAACTGCTGTGGGAAAATAGAATGCGTTTTTAATTGTAATCTGAATAAAAGAGAAGGGTGGTTTCAGGAAGGATGTAGTTCAGCTATCCTTCTTCATTTACCAGTGGAAACAAAATTCCCAGAAGTTGAGGTAGAACCTTCAGGGTACATTCAGCAATCAAAGGCAGAACAGTCTCAGTCAAGAGGATGGGATCCCTAGGTGTAGATGGGTTGAATCAGCAAAACCAACAAAAGACAGTGTCTATAAGTCTTTTATGTTATTACTGGTTGATTGCCACAAAGGGAAGTAGTGTCAGCAAATGTTTTGAAATATCACCAAGGAGAAATGGGATGTTACAGTACTTCTACTATGAAGATGGGCACCTAAAGGGATGATTGAGTTCTGCATGCTGATAGATACCTTAGGAAGGATTCTTATACCCCTCAGCTGTTGCAGCAATAACCAACAGATAGTCTTCTTAATGTATTTTTTATCACATCTGTCAACTACCAGACTTTCAGGTCTGATAAATGATACAGTTGGGTTTTTTAAATCCTTCCTGGGAAGCATTTAGCAGATAGTTTAATTCACAATATTTTTACTTTTACTTTGCAACACCAAGAGAACACTACAAGATGGAAATTACTTGTGCAACAACAGAAGAGGGCTAATAGCACACTGTGGCTTGAGGCCATCAAAATTACTTGAGAGGCTTGTTATGTGCATGGCTGATTTCCTGGCATTGCTTATCCAGCTTAATTATCACAGCTGAAAAGCCATGGGTGATATGTTACTGACCACAAAGTAAAAAATAAAAAAAAAAAACTGCTGCTTTTTTAGACAGGACTGTGTTTTCCTGCTGTATCTTTAATCCTAGTATGAGTATGTGAAGTATGGTGAAATGGTAGCTTGGGATTGCTGGTGGGTTGAGGGTAGGAAAGTATCTCTGTAGTCTGGTGGCTGCAAATACTTTAGGCAGGACTTAATACAGCCCTAGGTAGGAGAGATGACAAAACCATGCCTAAATAGGCACTTCAATAAAATCCCTTCTTCAGCTAGATCAACAGAGTAACATTTGCATATGTGAGAGGATGCACATTCTGCTCTTCTGGTTTCTCATTTTAAAGATAATCATGTGGTCCTTAGGAAATTAGCAGGAAGCCAGCAGCAGAGAACTGATTTCCCAGTGATCCCCAGGCATCTTCTTTCAGTCACTGCCAAGTACCAGTAGGAAGTGTG